TTTTATTCCTGTAGTAATAGCAAAAAAAATGAGTATATCACTGCAGTATGATTTATACAATCACAGCAAGTGTGGCTGCATTGATTTCTACAGGAAAACCCAATATTTTGCCATAGAATAGTGCTATATAGCCTGTTTGTATTGGCAAGTGAGAAGGGAAGGGAAGCAAAAACACCTTTCCTTAGGGAATGAAGTACTGTTAACATTGGCATTTTCGTCTGGATTTCATTTTCATGCCATCTTTATGGTATAGCTAGTTGCCAGTCTCTTCCGCAGGAACAAATATGCTTTTCACTGTGTTAATGTGGTTTTGGATTTGGGGGAGAGGGCTCAAGGGCAGTGTCGGTGCTGTGTTATTCAGCTCCATGGATGCTGTGGAGGGTGCAAAGCTCCTGTTTTACCCACCTTTGAATCTTACTGTGGTGAAGCTTGGTTTCATTTTGCTTCTGACTTTTTCTTGAGAGAGCCAATGTTATTATTTAAAATTCTAAGCATCAAAGCCATTTATCATTGTAGAAATAGCTCCTATGCCTCTACCTGATCTTCCGCGTTTTACCAAGGGTGTTGGTTCTGCTGCCGATTTTTCTTGTCTGTTTGCTTCAACATCCAAAGGTCATTCAGAGATTGTAAGAAGACTTCCCTGGGTTTAATCTTGGCTCTGCTGTACGTGTGGGCTCTGTGGCTACCCCTTGGCCTGGGCTGGCTGCAGCACCCATGAAGAGAGCGGTGTCAGAGTTTATGGTCTGCAAGCCGCTGTGGGTGGTGGCCCCTGTCTCTGCTGTGTCCCCGTGGCCTTGGTGGGAGGAGGAGATGGGCACCCTGTCCCATTGCAGCACACTGGAGAGCAGATTAAATGACACTGTGTTTGCAGGAGCCCGTGCGCAGCCAGCGCAGGTTACGGCCAGCAGGAACTCCAGTTTCCATTGCACCGGCAGGCTCCCGCCTCTCGTGTGTTTTACCCTTCCGTTTGACCTAAAGTTTCGCTTTGTTTGGGCAATCCAGGCTTGGGCTAGCAAAGGCAGGGTTTAGCATTGCAGGAGCCACATCCAAAGCAATAGTTTCTGTTCCTTAGCCAGGTATAGCACATGGCAAATCAGCCTGCATACTGCTGCTCTGCTTATACATCCAGCAAATCCTCCTGCAGGGTGCACAAACAGTCCCTTCTTCTATAAACCCAGGGTTTATTTGATCTGATAGCAAAATGAAAAACACCTTTTTTTTACAGAAATAGAAAATCCAGGATTTAAAACAAGTAAAAAACACACCAAGTTATTACCATTGTAATAAGGCAACTGGTGGTTCCATAAATCTTAAGACAATGGAAAATCATATATATATATATATATTTTTAAATGGTGCAGTGTTTGATATGCTTGTCTGACATTAGAATAATGTAGAAGTCTGGATAAAAATGGTATTTATCAACATTTTTATGGAATTAAGAACACTTGTTTATGGGTAGGAGTGGCTGACTACACAAGCTGCAGCAAATATTGATGCCCCATTGATTCTAAGCATTTACCTCATTGCAAGCATTTGTGTAGGTTACTATGAATAAACATAAATACTGATTTGTACATGCTGCCCTTCCAGTGACACGGAGATATATTACCTTGCTTTGGTAGTCTGTGCACCCTTCTACTTTGCATAGATGGCTAAAGGAGATGCAAGCCATCCTTCTTTGGAGAGGCAGTTTAGAGGAGAAAAAGGTCTTTGTGCAATGTTGCAGTTTCGTCTGGATGTAAGTAGGACAGAATTTGGTCCTGGGAGTTCTATTCTCTGCGCCGTGCAGCATTATATTAATAAATGCTTTCCTTTTCAACAAAATAAAGTGCAAAAGCGCTTTATGATTTTATGGTTAAATTTTGTTTTGGAATGGGAAAAATATATTTTTACCTTTCTTCTTTAGCCTTCCTTTTAGCTTATAATGGTTTGTCCTCTTTACCTTGTGTTTTCTTCCCACTTTTTTTTTTTTAAATATTATCTTGGAAAATATACCTTGTAAATGGGAGTATCAAGTGAGATGCTGAATATAATCCTCAGTTTCTAAACTCAGATAGTTTTCACAGCATCCTGAAAGGGAGGGGAGGCAGCATTAATGCCCAAATACTGGGACTGGGAAACTGAGGCCGAGGAAGGCTCCATGTTTTATGGGAAGCCGCAGAGGGAAGAGGTTTAGGATAGCAGGTGCGTTACCCAGCCCTGGCTTCTCTTGCTATGTTTGGTCTAGAGCTGTCTCTGAAGGAATACTTGATTCATCCTAATATTACATGGCCTTCCATGTCTCTTAAATGTAGCCATTCAAGAAGAAGCTGATACTCAATTCTCCATGTCTGTCCTATTGAAAGTAATGGGTGCCTGCAGGCAGGCATGAGGTATCGTTACCTTTGACAGCCAGTATGTTTTATGTTTTAAATTATGTGTTAGGCAGAATTTTTGGATACTAATTTGATATAATGAGATGCGCTTCTAATATCCACCCTGGTAAGTGAAGGCCTTGCAGCCAGCCTACTCTTTATTTAAAATTATTCCATTTCAGATGTCCTAATGAGTGCTGCGAGTTGTGTAATTCTTTTATAATTCCCCCACATTCCCAGAAGGGAACTAGGAGCTGGAGTGTTTTTTTTTTTTTTTTGTTCATTTGTATTTTCTGTTTTTGTTTTGTTTTATTTCAAATTAGGATGAGCACAGAATAAAGATACAGGAGAAGAGACAGTTCTGTGAAGCGCTTGCTGTTATGACAATGGCAATTAGGAACAAATGTTGTAGGCTACCAGTGTTAGCGCTAAGGCAAGTCTTGACGCCGTCGCTGTTTGCCATTATCTTATAAATATCTTGACTCTGACTTTACAGTGCTGCTTATAGAATTTAATAAAGCAAATGTAATAATGCTGCCTGTGCGCTAATGCACAATCTCAATCGAGTTGACCAGAAGATAAATAGGAACAGGAATGATAGCGCGTTCCTACAGATTGTTTTTAATAAGCGTGTTATTTAGCTGATCAGTGCGGTGCAGGAATGGTACTGGGAGAATCAAAGAAAATTGAGTGCGTTATTGAATCCGTGCCACGTTGTTGCAGGAAGCGAGGGGACTTGTGTGCGGTGGTGGTTTCTGCCCTCGCTGCACTCGCAAAGCTGGGGGCATCGCTGGAGAGCCCGATCGTGCGCGGCCCGGTGCGACAGCACAAGTCGCTTCTGCTGCCAAAACTTGTATCCCGCAAGGTTTGTCAGACTAGGAGCAGGTTTCAAAGAGAAGCCGTACGATTGAGCAAAATCACCTGCAAAATCGTTATTTACTCCACACCGCCCTATCCTAAAAGCCGTCGTGACACAAATTTGGAAAAGCATCTGGCCGTGGATTGTAAGCAAACTGGCTTGTCATGCTAGCAGTTGCAAAAGGCAAACGTTCCTCTTAAACTACCTATTTCTCATTTTGATCTGACATATTAAAAAGCATATAATTAATGGTTGACATTAGTAATTAACATTAACTTTATGGTGCTTAATATCCCATCATTCATCCATCAAATAACCGGTATGCATAATGTCATTGCAGAAAGGTTTTAATTACACAAAACGCTCCCTCGGTTCTCAGGCTCTAAATTTGCTGCGAGTGCGTTTTTGCGAGCTGCGCGTTCTCCGTTTCCCGCCCGTAAAGGCGGCGTTTCCCTGTGCCTTCCTCCGCAGGAGCGCGCGCAGCCGCGGCCCGCAGCCCCCGGCGGCGGCCGGCGAGCACCACCTGGCTGTCGCCGCCGCGCTCTGGAGAAACTGCTTCCCGCACCTGAAGAGCCAGCGCATGGCGCCCACGCCGCCCGCCCCGCCGCTCGCCGACGCCGCTGCAGGTGAGCAGCCCCCGCCGCACTCGTGCCGGGGCCACCGCCTCTGACCGCGCAGCGACCTACCTGCGCGTACGGGCAAAGCGCGGTCTGTGCTGACTCCTCCCATGAGATGCGCGCCTGGTTTATTTTTCTCTCACTTATTTCACTGTATCCAGAATTTGTATCCGTTTGTAGAAGTTTGTTACAATTTTGCATGGAACTGTTTTATTTGTTATACCTTTGATTCAGTATAATTTTTCGTTTTGTAAAATATTCTTCTCTGAAGACAACTTTTTAAGAAGTTGATTTTATGACTGTTGCATTGTGCTGAATCTTTAGGCTCGTGCTCGTAAATCTATTTTATGATTCCTTTTTAATTTGCACTGAAGTGCAGAACATCTCAAAGTGCAATGTTGCATATTTATGCGTTGCAAAGAATACTGCTCCGTCCCCAGCCAGAGGGTCAGCATGTCAGTGAACAGAATGAAAACCGAGTCAGATCTTCAACACAGCATTAGCAGTTATCGCTGTATTCTCCTCCACATTATTTTCCCTGAAAATTTACTATACTACGCATGTTTTCACCTTAGTGCAGTATTTAACACAGTAACCTCTGCAACATGAGCCTGTTTTGATAAAACTAGAAAGGTACCAACTCTTACTGGCCCCAAACATTTCCTAACACATTTCTTCACTGAGTGAATTGTGCAAAAATAGCTGAGGAGATAAATAAAGCCCTGTAAAAGCTGTTATGCGTGTAAAGGAAATTATGGGTAGAGGCAAGAAAAGGAGTCCAAGAAGGCAAAAAAAAAAAAAAAAATTATAACGTGGTGAAGCTACGCCTTTTGCATTTATAAGCTGTGGTGTCCTGGAAACTTTTAAAATTGTGCAAATTTGAACCATATATTTGTTTGCAAGTTTGAATCAGTCTCTCCTTCTTTGCATTTAGCACATCACCTTGCCTTATAGACTCCCTGGGGCAGGACTACTTCTTGGCATGTGCACTAACAATATCCTTTGGAAAAGCTGCTCAGTTTTCACCGAGATTTCTGGTGCTTCCAGGGCAGCACCTTATTAACTGCAATCAAGAAATTTCAATGCTTCCTAGTGGAACAGGAATATACTGAGGTATCATTAACACTCTGCCATGTTTTCTCTGTTTAAAACCAGGTTTTACTCTCCTGGCTTTGGACATGCCCAGCAAAGCCCTGCCAGAGCTGCAGCCGCAGCCGGTTCTGTCGATGATGCAGTTGTTCGGGTGGGATGACATGGTGTGGCCACAGCTGGTGTCCAGATACCTGAGTCACCTAATACAAAACAGGTGAAAAATTGCTTCTCTTTTCTCTTTTAAATCCTTCCAGATGCCTCTCATTTCATGGTCAAACCTACAGAAAGTGTTGCTACAAACAGCAAGTGTTTCGTTAAGGTGGTTCAGGTTCTTCGCATCTCTAATTTCCAGATTTTTTTTTGAAATGAATGTGTCCTCTGTACAGTTCACATGGGGAGTCAGTGCTGCTTCTGTTGGTTGGTCTGTGTGCTTGTTTCTTTTTTTGCATGTAAATTAAGGTATTAAAAATTTGTCAGGAAGATAGCTAACTATTTTGCAAAACATACATGTATTTTATATAGCAAACTACTTTTTTTTCCCAAATGAGAACAGTGTTATTAATAGATTTTGAAAAACAGAGACTTAATGTCTCCAGAGCAGTGCTCCTCTGAAGACGAGTACTACACCAAAGGGAAGTGCCTGGACCCATAACCTATTTTTAATTTGCCTATTTGTAACCATCTGTCCCCTTCTATTACTGTTACACTTCGGCAATGTTGTTAGTTTGAGAAAGCAAAAGTCTCCTGCCTTAGCTGTGCTTTAAAAATAAGTTGGATCTTGTAACTTGGTAAAATTAAATATTCTGGTCTTAGTCTCCTCATACTGTTTACATGTAAGAGATTCAAAACTTATATCCTTATTTTAAAAGTCAAGATAAATATTACTGTAGAAATCTGAAGATAACGTATGATAAGTATTCAATATTTAAATAGCTCGACTTTTGCAAAACAAAGAACTTTTGCAGGAGGATGTGTTGGGTAGTACCCAGACCTTAAAAGAAAATGATCACAAGCAATGCATGTACTGAAACTTTCTTTTTGGCAGTCTGAGGCCAATTTCTGAATGCCTAGTAGTGTTGCTGATGTTTGTTGAGTTTCTGAGACCTGCTAGACTGCTGCTTTAAACTAAATACTGGGATTAAACAGGAATCGTGTACTCTTACGTACCAATGTTTGTTCGCTTGTTTGTTCTTAATAAATAATCTTTATTGCCTTAAATAGGCATTGTTTAGTTAAGATGGGCTTTGAGTCAGGCTTTGGAGGCAGAGGAGGTGAAAGAGAAGGGTTTATATTTTGGACAGTATTTGAAAGTGAAACGTATTGCATATTTTTGAGGGTACATACTGCGCTAAATTGCTCTAAGTCAATCTACAGTAGAGGCTGTATAAGTGTGAGTGGCAAAGATGAGTCTGGGTGCTGCTTGCTGGGACATGGGGAAGGGGTTGAACTGAGTTGTGAGGGTGGCGGTTTGGAGCTCGGAGATGGGCATTCAGACCTTGCGTAGGACAAGGTTAAATTTGTGCAAGGTTTCGGATACCCAGCTCACACTGAATGCAGTGGGAGGTAAGCACGCAAATTATGATTTGTAATTTGCGAGCTTTGCTCTTCAAGTAAGGTCAGGAAAAACACTTTGATGCCTCAACTGAAATTCTGGTATAATTTAGGTGCTTTAGACTAATTACCAATTTCTCTGGTAAGCACTGAAGTGCTTGCAAATAGTTACTTAAGTTTTCATTAGTAACATTAATTAAGTGCCTAATGTATTGTTATATGTGCATTTGCAAACGTATTGCCATCCTGACCGGGGCAAACATATATTTACTGTGTTCGAAACCACAGCCTAAGGATTCCTTTTCTCAAGTGTCGGGAGCCCGATTGAATTTGCAAGTGCAGGCGCACGTGGCTCAGGCTGAGCTCCCCGTAAAGCCCTGCTGCCGTAAAGGAAGGAGAAAACATGACTCCAGAGTTCAGCAGTGGTGGATGTTTGTCTTTTGCTCATTAGGAGTGTGTATGTTCCCTCCTTTGCCTTTCTCTCCCTCTCCTCTTGGATGACTTTTCTGGGTGTAGGGAGCATGGGACATAAAGCACTCACCCGAGGCAGATGTTTTTGCCTCTAACGTACTGGGAGTATCATTATGTGCGTTATTTCCCTCATGAGTTGCCTATGTTCCTCTCAAGGTAAATCATCTGTATCTGAGTCAAGGCAAAGGTAACTTTGCTTCCTGCTCAAGAGAGTGCTCAGATTCCCTTGTAAAAGGAATCTGTTAGTACCTAAGATAACTTGAGTAAAATTACACAGATATATATACTATATTCTAAACATTGTTGTTTTATTGTATACTAAAAAGATAACAAAGTTCGGGTAATATGATTCATGTGCTTATTTACCTTAGGCAATTGTAAGAGCAAAAGTTAGCAAAGTGTCTAAGTGCTGGGATCTTAAGACTTCATGGTTACTGTACTGTAATAATTTTCACATCAAACATTCTCAGGTAAAAAGTGAAAAGACTGATCTTGCTGCTGATGCTGTTATCCACCCGGCAAGCTCAGCCTGGTCTCCTTAAGATTGAAGCCGTGTTTGGCGTAGCAGCTGCTTCAGTATCAGTAATAAAGGTTCTGAAGGACAAGTTGTGCCCTTGGGAACATAGGCACAAGCGAAGGTGTCTCTGCTGCAGCTGCCTAGAAGTTCCTTTCGAGATCCGTGTGGTGCAGCGCGATGCTGCTGCAGCCGTTCAGCCCAGCGCCGAGCGCGTGCGGGTGCCAGCAGTGACGGGCCCTCTCTTCCTGAGGGGCTGGGAGCGATTCCCATGCCACCCTGCCCTGTGGCCTGGCTGCCTGCGCCAAGGGGAGGTGTCGCTGCAAAGAGCCTTAAACCCCCAGGCATCCCTTTTGTGTGTGTGTTGTACTACTGGAATGTGATTTTCATTTTTGCATTCCCTTTGGTTGCATTTTGTCTCATTTATTTTGTCAGTAGCTCTTCAGCATGTTGACTCTCTCTTGCAAGCATGGGTAAAAAAATCAGTAGAAAATAAGTAGATTTATATGTACATATACCAAGAAAAGAGTACAAGCATTTATCATTAAAGTCAAAGCACCTCGGACTGACCAGGGAAGAAATCTCTCAAATAAGAAGGCGTAACTATTTTCCGGAAATTTCCCTGACCTGAAGCACATACAGAGCTCACTGCGTAGGAGTTGCAAAACGGACCCGCTGGCCTTTAGCCGGGACTTTGCAAGGGTAGCCAAGCATAGCAGTCTCCTATGTCATCTCCGGGTTGCCTTTTTATGTTTTTCTTTTTAATCTGTTTTTAATATAGCCTTTTTTTTTCTGATCAGACGCATCTTCATTTGCTAATGCAGACCTTCTCTATCTATGGGGGCTTGAGAAGAGCACAGGGGTTCCTGAGCTAACTTCAGGTGAAAGGCTGGGGTGGTTTAAGCAGTGTCAGTATAAAGTTGCAGGTTGATTCAGGTAACTTAGTCCTGCTGTTGTATGTCACCGTTTAGATAATACTCTCAGATTGCTTTTTTCATTGTTGTTAGAATGAGGAATTCTACATTGTGTGAATTCTTTTCTCTCTGTTTTGTTTTGTAAATATGCTTTAAATTACTGTGCTTTAAATTCTTTGTGTTCTCTCACCAATATACTGTGAGCAAAATCAACAGAGCATGCAAAAAGTACGCAATTTAATTTTATTTTATTTTTAGCTGTCTATATGTAGTATCTTTATATCTAGAGCCAAATGAGACCTTTTGCCACCTTTTCACATGTTTTTATTAGATCTCTTTATTTGCCTTCTACCTATGCAGTGAGCTGTATGAAGCATTTTCCAGTATGGGCTATACCTCCTATGAAGCTTTGACAGTTCGTTCTTGGTTTCGATGCGTTTTGCAAATGTTCATAGATCAGCCGGCGGGTGCGCTGGCCAAGACAGATGCTGAGCGAACAGTTGGTAAGTGTTCACATTTCCCTAATGTTTGCAGCAACGACTCTATATTGCAGAACTGGCAAACATTTTCAGCTAATTACAAAATATATTTTTGTTTGTATTCCTTTACTTTTACCTAATTACAAAATGTGTTTCTTTACGCTGCTTGCGCTATTTATTGATGGTTTGCCTGTTCTGCATATGACAAATTTATCGCAAACAAAGATAAAAGAGCTTGTTTCCTTGGAAGCAGAGAACAAAAACTTGCTCCCAAGGAGACAAGCTATTTTTCCCCCATGGAGAAACTGCTCTAAAAAAAAAAAAAGTGAAAATATGAAGTAAATAGTCAGAAATCATGCTGTGAATGCCCTAAAAGAAAAAAAGTCCAATTGTAAACACGTCTTTCTTATTTTATATAGGATATTTTGCTTTCCTTAGTTTTTTTCGTTATTGAGCAGTACTTCTTCACTTTTTTTCTACAAAGCACTGCAGTACTAATTATCTAGTAGAACACATGTTCTAGAACTTTCTCATGCACTTTTTGTAGATTTCTAGGAAAACAATCAGTAAAATGAAAGATTTGATTATCCATGCCTAATATTCTTCATTCTTGTAATCCTGTATTGGATTCATGCTTTCGTTCTCTAGCATGGTGCTGTCAATTGCTGAGTACTTGTGGTTTGGACATTTTAAAACCTGATTTTAATTTTGGGGGAAGAAAAGTAAATAGAAAAGCAGTAGACAAGCATAACTGTATACTACATTTACTGTTGTGTTTTCTTATAACAATCAGGGAAAGTTTACATGGAGCAGCTCACTGAAATGACAAGACTGGTTTTTAAACTGAAGGAAGTAGAAAACATCCTCTCAAAGGCTCATGTCGAAGAGTCATTTTTCAAGCAAGACCCTAAAAACGCTCTTGTCCAGTTTATTAAGGTACCATACTTTTGTGCTAGCTCATAGGATAATTTAAGAGAAAGAGGATTATATATAGTAGTTTGGTTTTGTTTTCAAGAAGAAATTACTCATCCGAGTCTCAGGAGAGGTGAATAAATTTAATCTGGTGTTTATTTCAATGTCTGTTTCCTCAGGCTGTTGGAAAAACTTACAGTGGCCTTCAAACACTCCCTGAAAAATCTGCCATGGTAGCAAAGGCTCTGGAATACTTAGGTGACGTACTGAAGTACGTAAAACCTTACCTGAAGGTAAAAGGACCTCCAGAGGGCCTGCAGCTTACCTACTGGATCATAGGTAATTATTGCACACCATCTAGGAATGTATGTGACTTTTTGTACTTTTGTTTTATGTGTTGTCTGTGTAAAGGCCAGGTCACCAAGACAAAGCAGCCAAGTAAATAAAAGCAGAAACAACAACTTGGCGAAGCGGTTTTGTGCTCTGTTATGTTTACTGGAGTTAAGATAGTGGACAGGTCTGCTTATGGAAATCAGAGATGCTTCCTTCTAGAAGTGCTCTCCTTACGTGCTCTCTGTGCTTTATTAAAGCTCAGAGCCCAGTATCCTTCCACTGCAGTGTAAAACCAGTAATGGCATGCAAAAATAATCATGGTGTTTGTTATGAATGAGTCTGACCCACTTATCTTTAAATAATAGGGTAAACCTTACCTATCATAAAGGCAGAGGTAATGATTTGCATGTAAACACAGTGTGCATCATGATGATGAGGAGTACAGTGAACAGCATGATCACAGCACAGAAGGTGCCTCAAATGTACTGGAATTTGAATTTATAAAGCGCTTGACTTTCCTACTGCAAGATCTGTATATTGTGCTGTACAAGATAAATGTCAAATGAAATGTTTTCACGTATGCAGATAGTGGAACTTTGCAAAGTAATTTTAGATTGATATTTTTCTTTCTCTTCTTTGCAGTAGGTAATGATTAATCTTCAGTCATGCTCTTGTGTACAAGAAATTGCCCTTTCATTTAAGGGGAAAGAAAGAAAGGCTTTACAAAAATATTCAAGGCTATTTCGATCACTTCCTTAATGTTCTGTAATGTAGTAAAATTATCGGGGCAAACTAAGATATTTAAGATATTTAAAAACTTTCCGTCCGCGCAAATACATCGGATTGTGTCTTCTGCTGTCCCATTCGTCACAGCAGTGGTAGTGGGAAGAGCACTTCTGAATGAGCATGTGCCTTGCAAAGCAAGGAGCTTAGCCAACGTTATTAAAAATATAGTTATATGTTCATTCTCTTCCCGTGTGATTGATCATTGTGTTTTCTTTCGCTCTGCAAGATTAATGTTGTTTTTCGTTGCTTTTAGAGATGGTGATGGGATGACTTTTATAGATTAATAATATCTTGTAACATGCTGTTTTTGATCTTCTGTTATTTACTGTAAAGTCTTTAACAGATTTTCCTGAGATATTCCTGTATTTTCTACCCAGCAAACTTTTCCGTGCTTCTCATTAAATATAAACTTAAATATGTTTGTGAAAACTACTACGTAGGAATCTCTTTTATGAGACACCTTGTACTATTTCATCTCTGTTTGGAGTATTTAAACTCCTGAGTATGCAGTCATTTTCTCGAGAAAACATGCATCTCACTTTCTAACAAGGATGTTTCAGAAAGTCAAGGTATTCATGAGTGCCTTTTTACAGTTTTTGCAGCTCAAAAATAAGATTTTAAAACTAGCTGAAGTCGTGCAAACAAGACATTAATATGCTGGAAAAATGTATGATGTTCTCTGTGACTCTCTCTGTGACTCTCTGTTCTCTGTGACTCTCTATTTGTGGACTGAGAGCCCATGAAGATCTGGAGAGAGGATGCTATTTCTGTGGTGTTGACTGCATGTCGTTCTTTTTAACTTGCTAAATTAGAAACTGTAAAGAAAGTTTCAAAGAAATTTAAAGTTTTTCTAACATCGCAAATCTGTGTGAGTAGTTGCTGATGTGACCAGGCTGTCGCTAGACAAATGTGACAGGAAGGCAAAGGCAGTGTCTTTCTGCAAAGTACAATCAAGGCACACAGAAAGGTAAATGTTTTCAAGCGTGCCTGTGCCTTATGCGATAGTTTGATGTTCATGTTAGTTAATTTTCCTGCAGAGGTGTGAGAAACTATTCTTTCTTAATGGCTTTACTGTGCTTTTCCTAAAGCAACTTTGCCTAAAACCGTTTAATGTATTAAAACAGTTGGTGCTTTCATTTTGCTGAACTGTAAATAGACTTTAAATCTTCTTCACTGGGTTTTTCTAGGCAAGTGCCATGGAAAAGAGCACATGGAAATGAGCATTTTGGTCGATATTGTTACTCTTGCCTTATCTAACTGGTAGATTGCCTATTTAGGCCTTTTTCTGTCAATGACCTTGGAAATTCTTGATTCTTTTCCAACAGGGTGTCTTGTGAAGTTCTGGGCACCAATCCTGGCCACGTCGAGGGCGCAGCAGCTCCTCTTCCGCATCATAGACTGCCTGCTGCTGCCCCACTCCGTGCTGCAGCAGGACAAGGAGCTGCCCGGGGCCCTGCTCTCCACCTTCCAAGAAAGCCTCCCCCTTTACCTGCAGGTCAGTGCCTCGCTGGTGCCACCAGCAGGAAGCCTGGTGGCAGGAAAGCGTTGGTGCGGCAGGCAGGCGTTCCCCCGTTGCGAGCAAGCCTCGCTCGGATGGCCCTGCCATGCGACGCGACGCGGCGTCGCTGCGCTCACCAGCACCTCGAGAGGCGTCTAGCCACCCGCTGCCTACCTGCCCTCTGAGGTGGCGGCTTTCCGAAAGAGCAGATCAAATATTCGTCACGGAGAGGAGGGCACTTGCTGAAAGACAGAGCAAAGAAACGGGTTTTAATTCAGCCTTGACTTGCTAACAGTGGCTAGTTAAAGGTGTGCTATTCTCTGCATTTTTGTCGCTCCTAGTAAAAAAGACAACCCTCTGCATACCATGACACCTCTTATCTTAATAGTTTGAGGATATGTGGCTTGCTGTGTCAAATTCCTGCTGTTTCTGCTGACGTTTCTGAAGCCTTATTGTCCGTTATGCCTCTCCTTCCTCCTTCAGCTTATCTGTTACCCTTGAAACTCAGTAACGCTTTGATGCTGTTGTAGAAAGGGTGAATTCCCATGGATGAGGAAGAGAAAAACATACATTTTTAAAATAAGTAAGTTGACATATTATTCTTTGTAAATCCTTAGGTCTCTTGCGCTTGCCGTTTTCCCTTCCCTTGTAGCCTTCATTTTGATTGCAAGCTTAATATAATCCTTAAAAATTATCAGCTGCGAAACAGTGAGGTAGTGACATGGTAAACATCTCTTGGATGTATTCCTTCTTTCAAAACTTGCATTGTGATTGATGGCATGTCGTATGGAAATGAATATGGCTATATAATGATGTGCAGAGTAAGACTTGCTTCTCTACTGCTCTGTAGGTGTTTTCAGAAGCTATCTACATCTAAGACCATCTGGACACTGATATTACCTCGGAGTGTGATTGTCTGCTTGCTAATTTAGTACTGGAGCCAGAGAGCACATTATGGTGTTTTTCTATAGTCTGCACATACGGGTGTAGTTTTAAGATGAAGCCACTCAAGTTAGTTTTGAAGTCCAAGTGTCGTGGACCCTGGCTGCTCGTTTTCTTCGTCTGTCTGACCCCACTAAGGGGCCCTTCAGCAATCTGCTGCTTAATCCATGTGCTTTCAAGTTGATGGTTCTGGATGATTTTATTGAGGAAATAGTTTGGTTTAGGGAAAAAAGGCTGCTTCTGGAAAATCCAAATTCTTCTTTAATTTGACAGTTTTGGAGGGAAATCACTTAGGAAGAAAGGGTGAAAAAGAGCAGATTTTTTTTCATATTTCAGTACAGAAGTGTTTAACTGTTTTTATTTTAGAAAGTTCCAAAATTGTTATCGTTCAAAGGGCTTCATTCATTCAGAATTCCCTCCTCTCAAATCAAAAATGAGAATATTGAATTATAGTTTAAAAGGTTGTTCTCACGGGACCTCTTCTGAGCTCCGTTGTGCCCAAGAGGGTTCTTGGCGTCGGCTTCGACTTCTCCGGTTGTTTCGCAGTTGGCTTAAGCCAGTGGATTTGTTAGCTGCCAGCAAAAGGGGGAAATTCCTTTCACTGCCATGGGTTTATTGAGTTAGTGATTTTTAATGATTTTGTGAGTAAGGAATGACTCAAATCTGTGAGTTGATTCAGCTGAGATCTACCTCTAACAACAACAACAGCAAAAACCAGGCCGATTGGAACAGTGATATGAGAGTGTAGGTGAGAAGGAGGGGATTTAGCCATGGTGGGGAAGATGGATAGACAAAGTCTTCCAGGAATAATCTCACACTGATTAATTTAAGATGCTGGTGAAATACATGATCAGACGCTGCCCTTGGCACATGGGCCTCTGGCTGGGGCCTGTTTGTCAAGGTGGAAGAGCAGTATTTTAGTGCAGGGAACCTACTCTGTTGTCGTATCAAACATGCACGTTGGCCCGTGCATCTGTCCCCGTTAATACTCTGATTTACTGCTGCATCCTCTGGAGACTACATGAAAATAGAAAACTGTTCTAGGAGATTCCTGGAAGATAAGAATTTGGAAACCAAAAACCCCTCCAACATCCCCATCAACCCCATCACCCCCCCAAAACAGAGGTTTCTTTTTAACAGCTGGCATTAAAAAGTAGTAGGTAATTTTACATAGGCAAAAATAACAGCTGAATGCAGTGTTTAAGAAGGGTATTAAGGGTAGACACGGCATTTTTCTCTTTTCAATTTAGACCAGTTGTATTTAGTTTGCTTTGTCTGCGTTAACTGTATACATAAATGGCAGCTATAGATTTGTGCCTTTTGATATCTGCTCCGTTCCCTTTGAACTTGCCCAGAACTATCAAACTCACTCGCTGATGCAGTCTTGATGAGATTAGTTCTAGCATTGACTAGCTTAGCTCCAGCCTTGCTTTGCAACTTTTAAACTGATGCTTTTTCCTGTCCAGGGATTGCTATATGGATATTGTTGTTATTCTT